AAAAAACATGAATGAATTCCTATGCACACTGCACATATCTTATTTGTAGTGCAAAAAAAAAAAACCACTTTAAAACAACACAATAATTAAAATGAAGAACAATTTTAACAAATATAAATATATTAGTATTTCAATGGGAAGTGTGGGCCTGCTTTTGACTGATGAATCCTAGAATCAAAGAGTTGGAAGAGACCTCATGGGCCATCCAGTCCAACCCCCTGCCAAAAAGCAGAAATATTGCATTCAAATCACCCCTGACAGATGGCCATCCAGCCTCTGCTTAAAAGCTTCCAAAGGAGGAGCCTCCACCACACTCCGGGGCAGAGAGTTCCACTGCTGAACGGCTCTCACAGTCAGGAAGTTCTTCCTCATGTTCAGATGGAATCTCCTCTCTTGTAGTTTGAAGCCATTGTTCCGCGTCCTAGTCTCCAAGGAAGCAGAAAACAAGCTTGCTCCCTCCTCCCTGTGGCTTCCTCTCACATATTTATACATGGCTATCATATCTCCTCTCATCCTTCTCTTCTTCAGGCTAAACATACCCAGCTCCTTAAGCCGCTCCTCATAGGGCTTGTTCTCCAGACCCTTGATCATTTTAGTCGCCCTCCTCTGGACACATTCCAGCTTGTCAATATCTCTCTTGAATTGTGGTGCCCAGAATTGGACACCATATTCCAGGTGTGGTCTAACCAAGGCAGAATAGAGGGGTAGCATGACTTCCCTAGATCTAGACACTATGCTCCTATTGATGCAGGCCAAAATCCCATTGGCTTTTTTGGCCGCCACATCACATTGTTGGCTCATGTTTAACTTGTTGTCCACGAGGACTCCAAGATCTTTTTCACACGTACTGCTCTCAAGCCAGGCATTGTCCCCCATTCTGTATCTTTGCATTTCATTTTTTCTGCCAAAGTGGAGTATCTTGCATTTGTCCTGTTGAACTTCATTTTGTTAGTTTTGGCCCATCTCTCTAATCTGTCAAGATCGTTTTGAATTCTGCTCTTGTCCTCTGGAGTATTGGCTCTCCCTCCCAATTTGGTGTCGTCTGCAAACTTGATGATCCTGCCTTCTAGCCCTTCATCTACGTCATTAATAAAGATGTTGAACAGGACCGGGCCGCCCAGGACAGGAAAACCCTGCGGCACTCCACTTGTCACTTCTTTCCAGGATGAAGAGGAAGCATTGGGGAGATTCAACCTATGGGTTCGTCCATTTAACCAATTACCGATCCACATCACCGTAGTTTTGCCTAGCCCACATTGGTCTAATTTGTTTGCCAGAAGGTTATGGGGGACCTTGTCGAAGGACTTACTAAAATCCAGGTACGCTACAATAGTTTTCCTCTATAGGAATAGCAGTGTGTGTTGCTTATTCATTTGAGGTAGAGAGAGAAGCCACTTCTATTCCCCTGAGAATCTTGGGCCAGTTCAGAGCCAAAAGCTTGGTTTCTCTTGGTCTGGCCTTTTGAAACGAAATTCGCTTTTGACGAGCGTCGGGGAAGAGTATCTACCGTCGGGAAGCTTTCCTCTCTGCCTTCCTCTGGAGCGAGGTTGAAAGGTCTGCCTTGCGTTATTTGATCCTTTGTATAACTGTCAGCGGGCGTTCCTTGTGGCTTTCCAGCGGGACAAGAAAATCTCTTAATCCCAAGATTGCTTTTATATATACATATCTATATATCTGAATAGAAAGAAAGGCAGAGAGAGAGAGAGAGGAGATTAGTTTTTGAAAAAGAGGTTGGCCGTACTCCCTTTGCAAAGGATTTATTGGAAAATGTGAAGCCCTGGAAAGGGTACGCGATACACATCTCAGGCTGAAAGGCCAGTTCGACCAGCAGCGAAACTGTGAAGTTGAGTTATTAGAGAGGAATTGCATTCTGCAGTGTGAAAGGGATTGGAAGGCTCTTGCTGTTTGCCATTAAAAAGGCATCGTGGTTTGGGATTTGGGGACTGGGAAGGAACAGCTGGTGCTTTTTGAGCAGTTCCTAATCGTATTCAGGTGAAGTCGGTTCTGTCAAAATTGCAGGCAAAATCGGCTTCCAGACAGTGAATATAATGTGTGTTTGCTCGTGCAGGTTGAGCGCCTCTTTTCCAAAATTCTTGGGATCAAAGCGGTTTGGGATTTCTGCGTTTTTTAATTCCAGATTTTGCAATGTTTGTGTTATAAAGGTAAAGGTTTCCCCTTGACATTAAGTCTAGTCGGGTCCGACTCTGGGGGTTGGTGCTCATCTCCATTTCTAAGCCAAAGAGTCAGCATTGTCCATAGACACCTCCAAGGTCATGTGGCCAGCATGACTGCATGGAGTGCCATTAGTTTTCCGCCGAAGCAGTACCTATTGATCTACTCCAGCGTTTCTCAACCTGGGAGTCGCAAGAGGGAGTCAGAGAGGTCACCAAAGCCCATCAGAAAACACATATTTCTGATGGTCTTAGGAACACAGTGCTCTCCGGAGGTAAGTGAACTACATCTCCCCTAAATTACTGTCAATTCCTCCCAAATCCCTGCAGTATTTTATGTTGATCATGGGGGTCCAATATGGGAAGTTTGGCCCAATTCTATCATTGGTGGGATTCAAGGGGCAATTTGAGTGTAGGTGAACTATAAGTCCCAGCAACTACAGCTCCCAAATGTCAGGGCCTCTTTTTCCCAAACTCTACTAGTGTTCACATGTGAGCATATTGAGTATCTGTGCCAAGTTTAGTCCAGATCCATCATTGTTTGAGTCCACAGTGCTCTCTGGATGTAGGTGAACTACAACTCCAAAACTCAAGGTCAATGCCCACCAAAACCTTTCAGTATTTTCTGTTGGTCATGGGAGTTCTGTGGGCCAAGTTTGGTTCAATTCCCTCATTGGTGGAGTCCAGAATGCTCTTTGATTGTAGGCGTACTATAAATCCCAGCAACTACAACTCCCAAATAACAAAATCAATTAAGTGGGAATTTTTTGTTGAATTTCTTGCTGTTTAGTAGCCTAGGTTTGTTTTCTGTAGAATTACTGACAGTGGGATCAGTGCAATAATGAACAGCAGTGGTGGCAGTGAATCGCCCTGGAAAATTCCTCTCTTGATGTTAACAGTTCCATAGCTTTCGTTACCCACGAAGAACTCAGTTTTCCATTGTTTCATTGCATTTTCAGTGAACTTTCTAATATTTTCACAAACCCCGATGACATCTAGACATTTGATAATCCAACAATGTGGCAGTGAGTCAAATGCTTTTTTGTAATCAATCCAAGTTGTATAGAGGTTTGTTTTGCGCCTTTTGCAATTTTCCAGTATCATTTTGTTATTATTATTGTTGTTGTTGTTGTTGTTATTAGAAACACAATAAGATGAGTCCACAGCAGACAAGATCACTCTGCTGGCTGTTGTATTGGATCATACGTCGGACACTTCCCAAGTCTTTAGGCAGGCCGAGGTCTTTAGGCACTGCACCCAGTGTGCCGATCACCACCGGGACCACCTTGACTGGCTTGTGCCAGAGTCTTTGCAGTTCGATCTTTTGGAAGTTAAGCTGACCCTGCTTAGCTTCCAAAATCAAGTGACATCTGGTGCCTTTGGGGTGTTTACGTTGCTTACCATTCTTAAACTCTCTAAATCTCCAGTTTGCAGAGTTTTTGGTAAGATGGATCCTTCTTAGAACAATTGGACAGGACTGAGCATAGAACAAATAACTTAAACTCCTGATAGAGTTACAAGCTGGGTAGATGCGGGGAATGCTGTGGATGGAGCGTACCTGGATTTCAGGAAGGCCTTCTACAAGGTCCCCACGACCTTCTGGCAAGGAAACTAGTCCAATGTGGGCTAGGCAAAAAACTATGGTGAGGTGGATCTGTAATTGGTTAAATGGACGAACCCAGAGAGTGCTCACCAATGCTTCCTCTTCATCCTGGAAAGTAATGACGAGTGGAGTGCCGCAGGGTTCTGTCCTGGGCCCGGTCCTGTTCAACATCTTGATTAATGACTTAGATGAAGGGCTAGAAGGCAGGATCATCAAGTTTGCAGACGACACCAAATTGGGAGGGAGAGCCAATACTCCAGAGGACAGGAGCAGGATTCAAAACGATCTTGACAGATTAGAGAGATGGGCCAAAACTAACAAAATGAAGTTTAACAATGACAAATGCAAGATACTCCACTTAGGCAGAAAAAGCGAAATGCAAAGATACAGAATGGGGGAATGCCTGGCTCGAGAGCAGTACGTGTGAAAAAGATCTTGGAGTCCTCGTGGACAACAAGTTAAACATGAGCCAACAATGTGATGTGGCGGCAAAGAAGCCAATGGGATTTTGGCCTGCATTAATAGGAGCATAGTGTCTAGATCTAGGGAAGTAATGCTACCCCTCTATTCTGCTTTGGTTAGACCACACCTGGAATATTGTGTCCAATTCTGGGCACCACAATTGAAGAGAGATATTGACAAGCTGGAATGTGTCCAGAGTAGGGCGACTAAAATGATCAAGGGTCTGGAGAACAAGCCCTATGAGGAGCGGCTTAAGGAGCTGGGCATGTTTAGCCTGAAGAAGAGAAGGCTGAGGAGATATGATAGCCATGTATAAATATGTGAGAGGAAGCCACAGGGAGGAGGGAGCAAGCTTGTTTTCTGCTTCCTTGGAGACTAGGACGCGGAACAATGGCTTCAAACTACAAGAGAGGAGATTCCATCTGAACATGAGGAAGAACTTCCTGACTGTGAGAGCCGTTCAGCAGTGGAACTCTCTGCCCCGGAGTGTGGTGGAGGCTCCTTCTTTGTAAGCTTTTAAACAGAGGCTGGATGGCCATCTGTCAGGGGTGATTTGAATGCAATATTCCTGCTTCTTGGCAGAGGGTTGGACTGGATGGCCCAGGAGGTCTCTTCCAACTCTTTGATTCTATGATTCTATAATCCCTAGCGATCTTACTCCTCCTCCTGTGTGTCCATGACAATGAATCTTCCTGCTCCTGAAATGTTTTGGTCACCAAGAAGACGTCTTCCTTACATTGTTTTCCTTCCCTCTTATCTTTCAGAAACTTGAATAATCTCCGGCGATGTCTTCTCCCGAAATCGCTTCCATTTCCTGGGGCCGGATGACGGTGAAAGGCTGCTCCACGACATACAAGGACTGCAAAGTGTGGCCGGGAGGCAGCCGCACGTGGGATTGGAGGGAGACGGGGACTGATGTAGGTCTGATCACACCTTGTGAAATGTAATGTCTTTTCTAATACCCAAGCTATAACTCCACTGCATGATGTTGTAACTCAACAAGGGATAGATTCATTTTTGTGTAGTGTAATCTGTTAAAGCCTTTAACTGTGTGGATCATAGGAGGGTTGAATGAAAAGTAATGCCTCCACTTTCGTAACTTGGGTTTGGATGGGAATATTTCAATAAATCAAACGCAGAAATAATCCTTAGAATGTGCTCTTTAAATATCACTATTCACTTTTCCACATAATCACCAGACAATTGGATACATTTCTGCCAACGATGAACAAGCTTTCTGAAGACGTCACGGAAGATGTCAATACTCGTCACGGAAGATGTCAACACTCTGTTTATTTATTATTTACTTTATTTGTGTACTGCCCCTCTCAGCCCGAAGGTAACTCTCACAGTTCTTTCAACGTCTTCATCAGAAGCATAAAGATCTTCTTTCAATATTGGGAACAGATGGAAGTCAGACGGTGCTAAATCTGGACTGTATGGAGGGTGCCATACGGTGGTGAGATCCAGTCTGTTCTGGAACGGGTGTTCCAGGGGCTCCAAATTTGTGTTTTGCACTGAGTGTTTGTTCATAGTCCTAAGTTGCAGGGACTTTGCAGATAGGTGGCTTCCTTCGGCTGCATTCATAGGGCAAGCCACCTGTCAATAATAGTTAGGATCCCTGGTCCCGCCTCTCTCTGGGTTTTTTTTTGGAGGGATGGGGCCATTTTTCAGTCACACACAAGGAAGCCAATCTATAAGATGCAGATCAGCTAGTCCCGTAGGAAAGGCTTCATTCCTCAAACCTTCCGGGGAAATAGAAATAGCCATCCGGGGATCATCCAAAGGTGATCCGGGGTCCATCCAAGGGTCATCCAGTGACCATCCAGTTCCAGGGAAACAGAAGGAAAAGGTCCCAAAGGCTCTGGCTGAGAGCTCACAGCCTCTCAGACTCACAGCACCAGAGGGGAAAACAGCCCTGAAGTTTCTATAGGACAGCACTGCAGAACCTCAGAATTCCAGCAAAACATCTTCTAGCTTCGTCTGGTAGGTTACTCGGTTTCCAGACGCATTTGGGGATCGGCAGTTTTACCCAGACCAGCGAGGCCTAGGTGATGGACAGCCTGGGAGAGATTACAAAGGGTTCTTCTTCATGTTAAGATAGTTCAGTGAAATCAAGTCAGTGCCAGTCTCTTAAAGACTAGTATAAGAAAGCCTTGAAATGTTGTTTGAAGATTTGTTCCTTAATAAAGACTTTTTTGTACCTTTAAAGAACTCTAAAGCCCATTACTTCTGGAAGTCTCTAACAATCTCTCTTCGGGCACCCCGGCTTCCCTCTGGGTTTAAAGTGTGCGCTCTATAGAATAAAGACATTTTGTTCGGACCCAGTGATGACAGAACACAGTCTCTGAAGTTCTGCTGTGATGGCATGTGAAGTGTGTGGTCTGGCATTGTCATGCTGCAGGAAAACATTCTCCTTTTCTTTTCGGACCCTTGTTAGCTGTCGTTTCAAAGTTCACAGCATTGTGATGTAACGCTCTGAATTTATTGTTGTTCTACATTCAAGGAAATCAATATGGATAACACCATCTGCATCTCAATCTCTCAACCTTCTGCTTGTGAAACTCGGTGGTTGCTGTAACAGGACGTCCAACTCTTTGTTTGTCACGCAAGTCAGATGTTCCCACCTCAACTTACTTGCCCAACGATGCACAGTACTCACATCAACACAATCACCATAAACAGCTTGCATTCTCCGATGAATCTCCTTTGGGGTGACACCTTCTGCTGTCAAGAATTCAATGACTGCACATTGCTTAAGTCACATTGACTGACTGTCTGTGCAGGGTTCCATACTTCGCACTTTAACAACACAACCATTCAATGCTAAGGCTTCCCGCCAAAATAAAACTATAGGGGAGAGTCTACTGAACAAGCCAGTACCTGTTGCATACCAGGATTGCCATCTGATGGGGAGTTACGAATGTGGAGGCATTAGTTTTCATTCAAAACTCATAATAAATTGTGGCAAGTTCTTGGGGATACCAAGTCACCTTGTTTGTCTCCTGAGGAATCTATATAATGGCCAAGTAGCAATAGTCAGAACAGACCACGGAACAACCGACTGGTTCAAGATTGGGAAAGGAGTATGGCAGGGCTGTATACTCACACACGACCTATTCAACTTGTATGCAGAACACTTCATGCGATGTGCAGGGCCTGATGAATGCAAGGCTGGGGGGAAAATTGCTGGATGAAAAAATAACAACCTTAAATATGCAGATGACACCACTCTGATGGCCGAAAGCAAGGAGGAGCTGAGGAGCTCTCTAATCAAGGTGGAAGAAGAAAGCGCAAAAGCTGGGTTGCAGCTAAACATCAAAAAACCCAAGATTATGGCAACAAGAATGATTGACAACTGGGAAATAGAGGAAAAACATGGAGGCCGTGACAGACTTTGTATTTCTAGGTGCAAAAATGACTGCAGATGCAGACTGCAGCCAGGAAATCAGATGACATTTCCTTCTTGGGAGGAGAGCAATGGCCAATCTTGATAAAATAGTCAAGAGTAGAGACATTACACTGGCAACGAAGATCCGCCTAGTCAAAGCCATGGTATTCCCCATAATAACCAATGGATTTGAGAGCTGGACCTTAGGGAAGGCTGAGCGAAGGAAGATCGATGCTTTTGAGCTGTGGTGTTGGAGGAAAGTTCTGAGAGTGCCTTGGACTGCGAGAAGATCCAACCAGTCCATCCTCCAGGAAATAAAGCCCGGCTGCTCATTGGAGGGAAGGATACTAGAGACAAAGTTGAAGTCCTTTGGCCACATCATGAGGAGACAGCAAAGCCTAGAGAAGACAATGATGCTGGGGAAAGTGGAAGGCAAAAGGAAGAGGGGCCGACCAAGGGCAAGATGGATGGATGGCATCCTTGAAGTGACTGGACTGATCTTGAAGGAACTGGGGGTGGTGACAGCCGACAGGGAGCGTGGGCTGGTCCATGAGGTCACGAAGAGTCGGAGACGACTGAACGAATGAACAACAACAACAATCAAGATGGCCAATTGCAACGTTCGCACTTACCTCCAACAGACAAGAGTTCTTTCTCCCACTCTGGACATTCCACAGATATATAAATCCCATTTTCCTAGTTTCTAACAGACTTCACAACCTCTGAGGATGCCTGCCATAGATGCAGGCGAAATGTCAGAAGAGAATGCTTCTGGAACATGGTCATGCAGTCCGAAAAACTTATTACAACCCAGTGATTCCAGCCATGAAAACGTTCAGCAATACAAAGAAATGTGCTGCAAAGAAAGGGGGATGTGATCCCCAGCTACACCTGGGCAAGTCTTTTGTCACTTGGAAATATAATCCCCTTTCTCGCTCTTTCACGACTTTGCTTTCTCTCCCGAACGCGGCTTGGAGGCCCTGCCACTTTTCCCTGGCTGATTCTCTTCTAATTACTGTAAACCTGAACCTTTTTTCCCTTTTGTCTGGGAACTGCCATGTGACCGCTATGAAAGCACATCAGGGTTTTGAGATATAGCAAAGGGGAGAAAAAAAATCCTCCTCCTGTGGAGCCTTGTGTATGTGAGTGTGTTTATGCTGGAGAGCGCATTTGTCTCCAACTGGGTTAAACCACATCAATTTGCTGTTTTTTTCCAAATGGAAACAGGGAGGAATACTAGCTGCAGAAAGCCTTCGCCCTGCAAAAATGTGTCAAATGTGCCTGTTTTTACCTTGGGCAAAGATACCAATTTGCCTATAAATCTGACATTTTAGGCTGGTTGAAATGTCTCTATCGGAAAGTTAAAAATAGATTATTGCGAATGCTCGAAAAGTCTGTTTTGGAACAGCTGTGTGTTCAGCGCAAAAGGCTTCATGTCGGCAAAAGACGGTTGCCGGCAGTCCCTTATTATGCAAATGTCGTTCCAAATGGCAATGGGAGTTGAGAAGGAGAAGGCAACAAACAGGACGGGAAGAGGACACATCTGCCTCGGCGAGCCATCATTAGATGGGAAAGTGTTCAAAGAGACGGCAACCGAAGAAGCGCAAATGCGCCAAAGGAAAAGGAATGTGGAGATGTAAAGGGCTCAGGGGGTAGCTTTGTCTATACAAAAAAAAAATGTCATAGGTGATCATAGAATCATAAAGCTGGAAGAGGCCACAAAGACCATCTAGTCCAGTGTTTCTGAACCTGGGGGTCGGGACTCCTGGGGGGGTCAGAGGGATCTCCAAAGACCACAGTGTTTTCTGTTAGTCATGGGGTTCTGTGTGGGACGTTTGGCCCAATTCTATCATTGGTGGAGTCCTGAATGCTCTTTGATTGTAGGTGAACTATAAATCCCACCAACTACAACTCCCAAATGTCAAGGTCTGTTTTCCCCAAACTCCACCAGTGTTCACATTTGGGTGTATTGGGTATTGGGTATTCGTGCCAAGTTTGGTCCAGATCCATCATTATTTAAGTCCACAGTGCTCCCTGGATGTAGTTGAACTACAACTCCTAAACTCAAGGTCAATGACCACCGAATCCTTCTAGTGTTTCCTATTGGTCATGGTAGTTCTGTGTGCCACATTTGGTTCAGTTCCATCGTTGGTGGGGTTCAGAATGCTCTTTGATTGTAGGTGAACTATACATCCTATCAACTACAACTCCCAAATGGCAAGGTCTATTTTCCCCAAACTCAATTCCATTGTTGGTGGAGTTAAGGATGCTCTTTGATTGTAGGTGAACTATAAATCCCAGCAACTACAACTCCCAAATGGCAAGGTCTATTTTCCCCAAACTCCACCAGTGTTCACAGTTGGGCATATTGGGTATTTGTGCCAAATTTGGTCCAGTGAATGAAAAAAATACCCTGCATATCAGATATTTACATTACGATTCATAACCATAATAATAATAATAATAATAATAATAATAATAATAATAATAATAATAAATCTTTATTTATACCCCGCCACCATCTCC